GCATGATCCTCACCAAGTCCGACTTCACAAGATTTGTCACACAGTTGGACGGGGTTAATAAGATACGGTGGACGATCGCAGAAATGGACGATCGGTGAAGTCGCAGATTTTCTTACCAAACCGTCTGAGCCGATAACCTTGGTGGATCACAAGTAATAGGGGTCTCTGAACGTTGGGAAGTTCTACAGTAGGTTACGCAACTGATGAAAAATGCGGAAATTGTTGTATTATTGTATTTTTTCGAAAATAACATCATTGCAGCACTGTTTATTTCTTAACTTCAGTGGCCCTTAGGGGCGAAGCGTTGAGTCGTGAACTTGGAGAGTTTTAAAAATAGTAAAGCATAGGCTTGTCTTCAACTGGACCTTGCGACCGAATCATGGAAGGCCCTGCGCTTGAGCTGTTTGCGACGATCAAGCATTCCTTGTTGTGGCTTGTCTGTTGAAGACACTTGATTTCCAGGCCTTCAGTTCCAGGCTGACGCGCGATTGGCAACGTGAGTGCGTGTGTGATGAAGTGCAGACTGAATAGCATTGAGGAACTTTCTAAGCACTGTAAAAAAGCGTTTATACCAATGATGCCAGATCAATGTTTTTTGCCCGAAGTGGACTTTCTCGTGTTCGTGAAGGACGGTAAGTTTAAAAACCTTTATTCAATTTTAATACAAAATAATGACAAAACGAGGCGCTGTGAGACGCCAGCGTTGCGTGCAACTTCGGACAAATCGGTGATAGGCCCTACGGCTTACTTATCCAACTTCTCCAACAAACCAGTTCTTTCGCCCACAAAGTTGGACCGGAAGTGAACAAATAACTGGCAGTATATTGTCTGTATTTGAGTTTTCTAGAATAATGCTAAGCTTCATGCCCAGTACTAATTCCTATTTTCCCCGCAACGAAGGCTAAACGAGGTTTTACTGTGCCATGTTTTGACCGAAGGAGCATTTTCGTGCTAAAATGTATTATTAGATATTAGTAAGACTATATATTTATGTTATTACGCGTTACAGAACAGTTGTTTACACCACAAAACAAATGAACTAAATTTTCTAAGAAAACTCGGCTGAACTAAATCTGTTGTAGCAACAACAGCGGTACCGTTTAATTCGTATTTCAGCATGCCTCTTTAGTCGCTGCATTGTATTTTGTCTAGAGAGCCTTCAGTTAATTGATATAAGTTTATCTTTACGTACTAAATATTCTATTTAATAATTAGAATTCGGTTATTTTTCTGTAGTTTTTCTACAACGAATTTAGTCTTAGTGCAAGTCGGAAACACTGGTGTATGTGACTGAGATTAGCAATCACGCATGCGATTGTCGCGTATTCTGACATAAAGGATATCACACTCGAATGACGAAATTTTTCCGTGCATTTTATTCCGAAAAAATATAAAAACTTGTGAAAAACAAATGATATTCTCTTGTTTCAAAAGACGGTTCGATTTGCTGAGTCTTGTGATAAAACGCTTAGTGAAAACGCCGATATACAGCGCATTTTTATTTAATTTACTCACACCTAAAAAGATAAGAAACTTAAAGCACATCTACGAAAGCTTATGAGGAAGCAGATTGCACCAAGCGATGATAAATTAAGCATACTAACGAATTCAGATGTTTTGTTCTATGTATATTGTTCTTTTGCGCAGTCTACAATGTCAAGTTAAGCTTATTGTGTTTTCCCTATTGGTGTGTGCAGTGAACTTTCTAAGCATGAAATCTTCTAAAATTCTTATGAAATTTATTTTTTTTCTCAAGCCAGTTTGCTTAGAATATGTCGAAATTATTCCGGACGAAGTCGAAATCAGGGAACAAAGGCTGTTTAAAGGCCGTCGACTTAAAACTTAGTAGTCGTAACTTTTGACAAAATAACGCGTATAAGCGAGGAGCAGAATACATATTCTACTCTCATCCAGCGATAATGCACTTCACTGAGCCCACCTCCATTCTATTCAATTTTAGCGGACATGTTAACATTTCTGCTGTCCCTTGTTTGCCACGAGAAAGTCCTCCATCTAAAGCTTAAAGGCATTTCGCCATTTGGGTTTTGTCATTTTTTAAAAATTAACATTCTTCTAATATGTACTTATTCACGAAAGTAACCCTCCGGTCAATATTAATAAGTCCATTTAGAAAAGAATAAATCTAAGTTGCTTTTCTGAAATAAGGTTCAGCTATAAACGCACTACGTACTTGGCACAGGAATTTGCCCTGAGATGTTTTCTTCCTACGAATGGCCTCGTTAGCAAAGTTTGCATGATTTAGTCGCAATCCTTCACTGAGTACCAAACTGTCTTAGGTAACAGCATTCGCAGATGTTCATTGTGATTTGACTTAATAGTCATTTAGGTGAAGTGTTTTGGTGTCTAAAGGATAGTGTTGAAATCTCGCTTGCTTGATGGTCGGTCTCAAATATTACACCTAATTTTAGACCTGATTTTGTTGTTAATAACGTGATGCGAATTAACTGTACAAGTCATAGGAAATCTCGACAACTACAAACGCTACAATACAATACCATGGTCCTTGTATTTCTTCAGTTTTCATGTTATACGAGCATTTCCCGTATTGTTACCATGGACTTATATCTCGCAGTTATGATCACGTTAAAGTAATACTTTATTCATTAAACCTTTTGCTGTTTTAACGCCACGAATTCCAAAGGTTTTCAAATCAAAATTTTCATGAACAAGCGATAGTCTGATACTTTTTAAAATGAACAAAGTTTTTATATTTTCTCGGCTGATCTACGATAACTGGTGCACTTATACTCAAATTCTCGAAAGAATTCTATGTAGTCCTTTTAGTTGAGTTAAGACGAAATTTTGAGGAATGCTGGCGTTTCATGGTTTTAGAGATACGCGCATGCGAAAAACCCCCTAAAGTGGACGCAAAGCGACGCACGAATCAGTATTGCTCGTCTCATTGTGCTGTCTGCGTGGTTAGTTTGTTGGTCTGCAATGCGGGAAACGTTGGACTGAAAATGAGGGTATCCTTGCGCTTATCACATCCTTGTTGACTTTACAGTGAGCTTGAAGGAAGTCAATGCTTACATTCTGTTCCAGCACTTGCTGTGCACTAACTGTGGTCACTATGAAAATAAACCGCTAACGTGACCAAAGTGCATTAACACATGCGCACCTTCGCATTGTAATTCATAATAAACCATTACACTGCATACATATGGGTGAGGTACCGGATTAATTTACATTTGGCAATTTAACCCCGTTTTCTATGCCCAGGTTACTTGTTTGAATGTGTCGAAAAACAGCACACATGGACAACCCCCCTTGCTGGCCTGCCTTGCTGTCGCGCTCTGTTGTCAGGTTACTTAACGTTCAGGGAGTCTGCATTATTCACTGCACAGTTTTAACGATAGTTGCTCATGAGATATAACTAGTTAGTTCATGATAACATTACCATTTACGTCATTGGTGACCCCGAAATTAACTTAGACTATACCTTTCTATGTCATACTGAATAACATTAAACGTACTATTTGTTTGTGAATATCTATTCCATTTACGCATACTTTTCTGATATTTCACGATCTCTGTCTTAATTACTATGTCTCATTCCAACCAACAACTTGATGCCTCCGCCCAGTCCCTTCATGCCATCAATTTTACCTTGCCTGAATTCTGGTAACACGCTCCAGAACTTTATTTCATCCGCATCGAATTAGTCTTTTATCCTGCTAACACTAACAAGGATCTGGCGAAATACCACAAAATTTTGGAGGTTCTCCTAGCTATTTTTATCTCTTAAGTTCAGTCTTTGCTCTCTAACCCTCCTGCATATACTCTATATTCCACGCTTAAGGCAGAAATTCTTCGACTTAATTCTGTGTCCGACCGACAGCGGTATCACAAGTTACTCAAGGGGGAGTCGCTGGGGAACCAGAAGCCCTCTGAACTTCTACGTTGAGTGCGTTCTCTCTTTGAAGATATGCAGGTTGACGATAAATTCGTCAATAAGATGTTTCTAGAGCGTCTGGCTGCAGACGTTCAAAAGATCCTGGCGTCCGGTTCTCAAGATCCCACGGTTTCACAATTAGCTGAAATGGCGGATCGAATGATAGAGGTGCTGAGGTTCCAGTCGCTCTCCGTTGCCCAGATTTTCGCATCCTCATCGAGAGTGAATGAGCATTTAAAGAAGTAGATGTCGGTCATGGCGGATGAGATGGCCTCCCTTTAACGACAGCTTGCAGGCCTTGCCTCCAGTCGCTCACGTAGCCGTCGTCGTTCCCGATCGCGACCTCGGACTGCCGATACTTGCTGATCTCACACCAATTTCGGCATAAAGACCCGTCGCTGTTCCTCACCCTGCTCCTCTAAACCGAAACAGGGAAACCAGTAAGCCAGAGAATAGACGCGACCGTTTTTTCTGGTTCTACTGACTCTAGTTGCACCTTCTATGTTTACAACACTGCGACTCGCAGTTGTTTCCTAGTGGATACTGGGGGCCAAATCAGCGTTGTTTCCCAAACTGCAGCTGATCGTTGTTTCCCTAGCCCTGGTCTACATCTCCAAGCTGTCGACTGTTCCTTCATTCTCACTTTTAGCAGTTTGTTCCTCATCCTAAACATTGCCTTTGTAACTGCTGATGTCCCTCATGCAATCCTCGGCTAGGAATTTTTTACCGAGTTCGATCTCCTTGTTGACTACCGACGTGCCCGTCTCCTCGACCGGCAACCGGTCTGTCTGTTCGTAGACTAACTCCCTTTACTATCCTCACCAACTTATCTGTCTTGGATACAGATATTGCTAGCCCCTTTCAGCAACTGCATATTAGACACCCCAAAAATAATAAATCCCAGTTTTGTTGTGGTGAGGTCCAACATGAAGTTGTGCACCATATCCGCACCTCAGGTTCTCCCGTGTTTGCTCGGTCGAGACGACTAGCACCGGAGCGTTTTCAGGCTGCGAAGACGGAGTTTGAACACATGCTGCAACTGGGAATGATTCGACCGTCCGAGAGCGCTTGAGCATCTCCACTGCACATGGTGCCCAAGGCGACGTCAGGCGACTGGCAACTCTGTGGCGACTATCGTGCCCTCAACAGCGCCATCATTCCTGATCTGGACCCCGTGCCTCATCTTCAAGACTATGCTAGAGCCGTTTTCGGCAAAGCGGTTCTTTCGAAGATTGATCTGGTGCGTGCTTTTCATCGGATTCCAGGTTCCCTGAGGGCATCCCTAAAACCGCCGTCACCGCACCCTTCGACCTCTTCGAGTTCACCCACATGCTGTTTGGTCTTCGTAATGCCGTCCAAACGTTCCAGAGGGTTATCGACCATGTCTTACGTGGGCTACCCTTTGTGCACGCCTACAATGATGACCTCTTGGTGGCCAGCCGGAATAAGGAAGAACAAAAAGAGCATCTTGCCCTGGTGTTTGGCAGCCTTGTCATGTTTGGCGTTGTCATCAACCCCCCAAGTGCGTGTTAAGTGTGCCTTCGCTCGAGTTCCTCGGCCATCAGGTCGACTCTGAAGGTTTGCGTCCCCTCCCCCCAAGGGTGAAGCAGTTCGTAATTTCCCTCCACCAACTTCCAATCGTCAGTTGCAGCGATTCCTCGGCATGGTCAATTTTTACCGCCGATTCCTACCGTACTGTGCTGACCTGATGCTATCGCACACCAACACGCTTTCTGGTGCCGAAGGCCCCTTCGAGCTGACTGGTGACGCACTGACTGCTTTTGAGAGAATCAAGAATTCCCTTGCCGACACCACCTTACTCACGCATCCCGCTCCAGAAGCTCAGCTGTCCCTGATGCCAGATGCCTCGACCGTAGCCGTAGGTGCAGTCCTTCAACAACACTTTGCTCGTTCGACTCGACCACTTGCCTTTTTCTCCATTTACCATTACCATTATCGTCACATATACTGACTAGTCCGTTAAATGATGAAACTGACTGAGTTACAAGTACCCATACTGCACGATGAAAAACGAAGCAACAAGCGCTTTAGTTTTTTTTCCTCTTCAGTCCTTCTTTTTCTTATCTTTTCTCTTTCTCTTTTTTGCTCTTTTCGTTTATTTTCGTTGGTCAGTCACCAGTGTCAAAAGTCGAATAGCCCAATCTTATATCAGTTCTCGTGAAATCTTATGTTCATATTAAAAGCACTACGAAAGTCTATTTAGGAGCCAAAACGAAAAACCTCGAAAGATGGTTTCTGAGCAAGGAATATGGCGAAGACCCACTGCAATATTTTACCGTACACACCGATGTTACGCTTGGTTGCATTTCATACAGCCAAATAGGTCATTTGTGATGGAGAATCGCCTTATCTTGTGAATATTAAAAACGCTGTGGCTTGAATACTTGTTATTGAATAAACGTTTGCCACTTTCGTGAATTTTCTTAGTCCGGTATCCGTATGTTAAACGCAAGGAATTATTTTTTAAAAACTTCTTTTTAAAAAAAGTTAGACACAAATGTAAATTTATTGACAAGCGAAAAAAGCGCGGGAATAACTTCTCAAAGTCACCAAACCTGCACAAATTTAATCAATCATAGATAATATTTTTATCGTTCAGACCTTTTGCTCCTTAAATGTCCTAGACATCTCGAAGTTCCATTTCAATCGGAAAATGATCACTGACTTCCAAGCACTGTAAAAAAAATATTTATTCAGTCACAATTTTTATAACCGATATTTTAGACAATGGTCACTTAACTTGATAAATTTTGTTTTTTTTCAAGTAAACTGTTAATTTAAAAACTATATCCTAAATAAAGTTCTTGGTTAACAACGACGCACGGTTACATACCTTGTCCATTCTAAGACCAAACGCTCGGCAGAAGTTAAATGGCTGAGGTGATCTGGCAACTAACTGCGAAAGTACGTTACTTCCACGAACAATGAACCTTGAAGATGAAAGGAATATTTAATGGAATACGCATAATAAATGTTGATGCATTTTGTTCCGACTTTATCATGGAAAATATTGTTATTTATACAGCTATGGAAACGATAGGCGACTTTAATTTACTTAACCGACGAAGCCTGAACAAACTGACTCTCAAGGGAATTCCTAACAAACGCATTTTAGCGCACCCCGGTCCTAAACCTGTTTGTTTGCCCTTTTAGTTTTAGTTTACTGATTGTATTCCGTCTTTCACCTGGCCCTATGAGAGAACCTCTTCTGTGAGTGTCTTATGGTCATCTTAAGTGCCGGATAAATTTTCATGATTAAAATTGCTTACCTGTCATATGCACATTGTTTTGAAGCTAAAGTGGTGTCCATGTCATCTGTTATAAGCCACTTGTAATTTGCATCTTTCACAAAGTTCAAATGAGCTTTATTTGCCTTTGATAGGTATGAACAATCGGCGTTCATATCTCCAGTTATAATCATGTTCTTAAATAAAAGAAACGTGTGTAATATAAAACAACAATCAATCTACTTCTAAATATAAGAATTTTTTGCTTTTAATATACGCAAGTGCTATTGCAGACAACCTTATTTCTCTATTATAATGGTTTTGATGGTAGCTGAGTCAGTTGCCATTTGTTTTG